GCCTTCCAGGCTCCTCTGTCCATGGAATTTTCCAGGCAAGAGTACTGGAGTGGGTTGCCAGTTCCTTCTCCAAATAAATGGCTGAACTAAGTCCATATTCTTTTTCCACACCATGCTACTATTATTGATTGAATAGTATAGATAGACATTCAGGCTTCCTAAATAACCCTTAAAACTCTTCTCTCTCTGGCACTAAATAGAATTTCACAGTGAACAAGAACCTTATGGACTCTAACAGGTGACTTGTAGGCTTTGCATAGTCCAGTGCTTTCCACCCCTCAGTGAGCAGGAGAGCAGGCTGGAGAGCCTGTTCAGACAGAGTGCTGAGCCCCAGCCCAGAGTTTCTGACTCAGGAGGTGCACATTATATACTTTAAAAAAATCTTTTGACAACTTATTTCTTTCTTTATTTTTGGCTGTGCTGGCTCCTCATTGCTGTGCAGGCTTTCTCTAGTTGCGGTGAGCGGGGACTACCCTCTAGCTGTGGTGTGTGGGCTTCTCATCGCGATGGGCTCTCTGGTTGTGGAGCACGGGCTCGGGAGTTGTGCAGCATGGGCTTAGTTGCCCCACGCATGTGGGATCTTAGTTCCTGGACCAGGGATCAAGCCCATGTCCCCTGCAATGGCAGGTGGATCCTTCACCACTGGACTACCAGGGAAGTCCCACATTAGACACTTTAATATATGTAGACTGGCCTCAGTAAAAAGGTCTACAACATACCTCTTGCCAAAAAAAATTTTTAATGGTTTTATAGTAATTCTAATTTTTATTTTTAGTGGGCTACAGCTACCATAATTTTTTTATTACCTTGCATAAAAAATATCCACCAAAATAACCAAAAGTGATGGAAAATAAAGTTTCAACATCCACAGGTTTGTGCATGTAGGGGATATTAAAGTTGCTGCCAGAGACTTCCCTGGCAGTCCAGTGGTTAGGACTCCATGCTTTCACTGCAGAAGGCATGGGTTCAATCCCTGGTCAGGGAACTAAGATCCTAAAAGCTGCAAAGCACAGCCAATAAATAAATAAATACTACTTCCTGGTGGTGTGACATTGGGCACATTGCTCAACCTCTCTGAATCTGAGTTCTCTCCTCTATAAATGAATGGGTTGAACAGGGCTCATAGGGCTATTGAGGATTAAATAAAACTAAGTATGTATAGGGGACTCCTTAGATAGAAATCATAAAACAAAGAACTACTATCATTCATCAGTGTAATCTGGAAAATACTTCTAAGAGGGACTTCCCTGGTGGTCCAGTGGCTGAGACTGCGGTTCAATGCAAGAGGGCATGAGTTCAATTCCTGGGCAACGACCTAGATCCTGCATGCCTCAACTGAAGATTCCCCGTGCTGCAAGGAAGATCAAAGGGCCTGCGTGCCAGAGCTAAGACCGAGAGCAGCCAAATAAATAAATAAAAAATATTAAAAATAAGTGTATAAAAGACATAAGTTTTTCATAAAAGAAGTCTGGACATATACAACATATGATAAAGTATATGATACTATATCAGTATATCCAAGCTGATACAGTAATTACACTATATCTTCTAGGACACACTAGTAGCAAAGAATTCACCTGGCAATGCAGGAGACGCAAGGACTCAGGTTTGATCCCTGGGTTGGGAAGATCCCCTGGAGTAGGAAATGGCATCCCACTCCAGTATTCTTACCCAGAGAATTCCATGGACAGAGGAGCCTGGCGTGCTACAGTCCAGCGAGTTGCAAAGAGTCAGACGTGACTGAGCACATCAACCCTAGGGCATAAGCTTTCATCTTTCTGTTCCACCATTCTCAGCCTGTGACCTCCCTTCTCAAGGTTACCTCTTGTCCCAAGATGACTTCTAAAGGCCAATCATGATGTCCACGTCACAGACACCAGTTTGGAGGAAAGAGGAATGAAGGATATACCACCTGGTTTTCAGAGACCTCCCTTTAGTCCCAAAGACATTTCCACCTACATGTCATTGGTGAGAATCTCCTACATGTCATTGATGAGACTCTCACAGCCTCTTCTAGCTACAAGGATACTTGGGAAATGTGATCTTTCATGCAGGTGTATTGTTTCCCCAAGTAAAATTACAGTTTGTTATCAAGAAGGCAAGGAAGGGACTTCCAAGATGTTCCAGTGGATAAGAATCTGCGCTCCCAATGCAGGGTTCCCAGGTTCAATTCCTGGTCAGGGAACTAGAACATACATGTTGCAACTAACAGTTCACATGCCACAACCAAGACCAAACACAGCCAAATAAATAAATAATAAAAAAGGAAGGCAAGGGGAAGTATGTTGGCGCAGGCATTTCTGCTGCAGCAGCCAAATTATTATCATTAGACAGCTGAATGAATGAACAAAGAGAGCTAGATTTATGATTCATGATTTAAGATAACAGTTAAGGCTGAGCTTCCAAACTTCATTGTGTATTGAATTACCAGGGATCTTGTGAACATGCAGATTCTTATTCAGAATCTCAGAGGTCAGGATGGAAATTTTATATTTCCAACAAGTTCCCAGATGATGGTTTGTGGGCCACACTTTGAGTGAAAGTGAAAGTTACTCAGTCATGTCTGACTCTTTGCGACCACAGGGACTATAGCCTGCCAGGCTCCTCTGCCCATGGAATTCTCCAGGCAAGAATACTGGCGTGGGTAGCCGTTTCCTTCTCCAGGGTATCTTCCCAACCCAGTGATTGAACCCAGGCCTCCCACATTGCAGGCGGATTCTTTACTGTCTTAGCCACCAGGGCAGGGCCTAAAGCATCATTCCTAACATTATCGGCACTCTATCCAACAAGTGGAGGTAAACAGCTGACACAGAGTATTACATGCGGACCCAGGGGCTAGGGGTGTTTTGGTGCCTGGATTTGCAGTGAGTAGAAACTGGCTAAAGCAGAATGCACAGTTTGCTTCAACTGAACCTACTATGGCAACTTTTCCCATAGAGTTTCTGCCCTGTCTGCAGACAGACTGAAATTCCCTTCAGATCTGGGTTCCTAGGGCACTGTGATAGGATTGAATGATCTACCTCTGAACTTCTAGATACATGAGAAAAGTAAGTCTTTTTTCGGGACTTACAGTCACTTCCCATGGAGGTGTTGGGCTGGGCTGGTGCCCCAGTCATGATAAACAGCAGTGACATTGGTATAATCCTTACTGAAGAAGCTCTCCGTGTAAATTGAGTTGTGATCATGTGTGGCCTCAGTGAATTCTTCCAGGAAGCTTGGAGTGTTTGATGCCACTGGAAAGCCTGTGTCTTCTCCAAGGACCAGTCAGGGGCGGAGTTTAAATCAGTAGTGAATTCTACAGCAGTGGTCAAGTCCAGGGCTGGTGTGGGGAAGGTCATAGCCAGGGTGGACAAGGCAGAGAGGAGCAGGGCTTTCCTGGGCATGGTGCAGAGGATGAGTGTGGAGTGCTCTCCAAGGTAAGCAGGAAATCAGGCAAGCCCTCAGTGTGATCCCCTTGCCAATCCTCTCTTCATTTTCCCCACTCTTCACCCCTTTCTTTCCCTCCTTGCATGGATCCCCATGTGTCCTCTTGTATTACCTTGAAAGCTCATCCCAGAGCAGTGATCTGCTTTGCCAAGCAGAAGACAGCACCATTGCATAATCCCCTCTGACGTTTTGAGCAGCTACTCTGGAGGTAGATGAAAATAAACCCCCCTCCCTTTCAGTTTTTATAACCCATTCAGGAGTGAGAATTGCTATTTTTAGGACACAATCATTTTCAGAGCTCTTGCTGGCCTGGAAGGAGATGTCTCCAATGCTTTAGGGAAATGAAGTAGGTTCTCTTTTTCTCTTTCAGCCAGTGTCCAGAATGGGTTCTTTCTTTGTAGCAACAGGAAACAATTCATTGTTCATATCCAGCTGAGAGAGTTTCAAATCACTGGAAGTTAGGGTACTTTCCTGCTTTATGGCCTATACAGTAAATGAACTTGATCTCCCCAATTCCACCTTGGTGTGGGAGGGTAAAGGTGATGTATTTTGTTCCAAATGACTCAGCGTGTTGTCAGGCATGCATGGAGTGAGGTTCTCATAGTGAGGCAAGGGTTTTGGTGCATGAGGTTTACTGAGGGTCAGAAGGTGAGAGTGGTGAAGAGAGGATGAGAAGATAGCGGAGCAGATGCTCATCGGCAGGTCTCTATTGTGGCTCCCGGGGCTTCATCCTCTGAGAACTCTGAAGGTCTGCTGGAACGTGTCTCAAAGACATCCCACTGAGGGCTGTGCATACACTCACTCCCATCCCTCAGGGACTTAGGGCTTAGCCTGGGGCGCTAACCATCTGATGCCCCTGGCCTGCCCTAGAGTGGACTAAGCGCCCCACTTCCCAGGATCAGAGACCGTCTCAGCCAGAGAGATGAGGAAGCCCTCTAGGAAGGCAAAGGACATATGGATGGGACCCTGACAGCCCCTACAACAAGGGTCAGAGTCTGAGTCGTAAAGGAACCACGTGACCCACGTTGAAAACATTCAGTACGGGGGTACTTCTCAGTGGTCCAGTGGCTAAGGTTCCACACTCCCAATGCAGGGACCCCAGTTCCATCCCTGGCCAGGGAACTAGATGCCGCGTGCTACTAAGAGTTCCCACGTCGTAACTAAAGATTTGCACACCACAACTAGATCTCATGTGCAGCAACCAAGACCTGGCACATCCAAATAAATAAATAATTGGTATATATAAATACATATATATACATGTATATATACACACACACAGAATGGGAACTTCCCCGGTGGTCCAGTGTTTGGGACTTGGCACTTTCACTGCTGAGGGCCTGGGTTTAAGCCCTGGTTGGGGCACTAAGACCCCACAAACCTCTTGGCCAAAATTTAAAAAAAAAAACACACACATACACAGTTTGAACTTCTGAATGACCATTTTTGCCTTGCAAGGCTGATTTGCTTTTGAGTAAAGAAACAGAGAATCCAGCTGTAGGTATTGGCTATGCAGCAAAAGCACATTGGAACTGAAACCTTCACCACATGCAGTTCCCAGCCCCCTTCTCCAGCTCCACCCAAAGTAAATGAGGTCACCCTCACCCTGTGGAGTCGGCACAAGTCTGGGCAGAAGGCTACGGCTGGTCTGGTCAACACTCAGCTGAAAACCGAGACAGCAGCATTTGCAAAAGACAGGAAGGAACGCGGGCCTGGACCCCATCATCACTACCTAGACAATTCAGGGAAGGATGCTCAGTACCTCAGATGGCTAGACAATGAAGCCCAGTGCGTCAAAGAGGTCCCGAGGATGTCTATCCCTACACCAGAGCTCTCGCAGACAAAGCAGAAGGCCCATAGAGGCACTGTTTGAAATACGTCTGTTTTCTCTTGTTCATAAAAATAACACACACTTCTGGTAGTTGGAGAAAACTTAGAAAATATGAGATAGGGACTTCCCTTGTGGTTCAGTGGCTAAGGCTCCGAATGCCCAATACAGAGGGCTTTGGTTCAATCCAAGTATGGGAACTAGATCCCACATGCTGCAACTAAGACCCAGTGCGGCCAAATACATAAATATTAAAAAAGGAAATGCAGAATAAGGTAAAGAAGGGGAAAAAATCAACAGTAATTCATGTTCTGATCCTGTACAAATACATAAACAAAATAGATAAATTTATCAACAAATAAAGAAAATCAGATATTTTATAATATAATCATATATTAGAGCCATCTTTTTACAGACATGGCTTTGTATCCTGTTTTTCATGTAACATACCATGGGCTGTGTGAATCTGCATGTCACTGACAATTCCTCACCATTTCTCTGCCATCTGAATCCTATTCCATCACCTGGAGGGGCCATAAACCATTTGACTACTCTTCTGTGAATTTTGGGTGAAAACCTTTGTACTGGGGCTCCCCTGATGGCTCAGACAGTAAAGAATCTGTCCACAATGTAGAAGACCCGGGTTTGATCCCTGGGTCTGGATCCCCTGAAGAAGGGAATGGCAACCCACTCCAGTATTCTTGCCTGGAGAATCCCATGGACAGAGGAGGCTGGCAGGCTACAGGCCATGGGGCAGCAAAGAGTCAGACATGCTTGAGCAACTAACACTTTCACACTTTTACCTTTGTGCATACTGCCTCACCTCTGGGTATTTTGTCAGGATATCCTCTCAGATGTGTGATGACAGAGTCAAAGGGAATGAGACCAAAAGTCTGCAGACTGAGCGAAGGCGCAGCCTCCACGCAGCTGTCCCCGGAGAAGATCTGTGATATACAGAGACAACTCCCCTGGCCATGGAGGTGCAGGCCAGGCAGGGTCCTCGAACTTGCAGGTACCCTAGAGATGACCCCCTCCCACACCCTATCTTATTTTTCAGCTAGCAAACTGAGTCCCCAAGGGGTTAAGTCACTTGCAATTCTTGACCACTTTATAATTGCCAAGAATTGCAAGTGACTTAACCACTTCTGGCATTTCTGCCACTTCTGGCATATGTGTAAGCCCTCAATAAGCCTCTCTGAGAGCAGCCCAGATGGACCAGACTTGGCCAGGCCATCGGGCTCCGGACTTGGGTTGTTTATAGAAATTAAATTACATCATGGAATGGCCAGGTGGCTGGCTGCCCAGCTAGAAGGAAGGCTATGTTCTTCTGGTGTCCAAGAGCCTGAAAGGGTACCTCCTTCCCCATCAGCTGACTACACATAATAGGATAAAATATCTCCACCTTCATTTGGAAGAACCATGAGGTTTGGTGGAGTGCCCAGGAGCTAGAATAAATCAGAAGGAACACAAGGCATTGGATCAAACTGAGTCAGTGAAACCACGCTGGAAAGGCAAGTGCCTTCATGACCGCAGCTCATTCTTTCCTTGTTTGCTGAATGAAGACTTGAACTCCAGGTCTGGTGTGTATGGCAGACACTGTCAGAGTCCTGCTCATATTCCCTCCCCAAGTAGGTTAACCACTTCCTACTACAAGCTCCTGAGAAGTGTACCCAGAGGACTTTATCTAGCTACAGGAGTCTGACTCAGACCCATCTGGACAGGCAGGATACAAGTGCAAGAAGCTGTCTCCCAGAGCAACTCTCAACCAATGACCAATGGGAGTTGGTGCTTCAAAACCCCTGTTTCCAGGACTTCCATGGCAGTCCAGTGGCTAAGACCTCATGTTCCTAATGCAGAAGGGTCAAGTTCAATCCCTGGTCAGGGAACTAGATCCTACATGATACAATTAAAGATCCCGCATGCCACAACTAAGATCCAGTGCAACCAAATAAATACTTTTTATAAAACCGAATGAACAAAGTGATGATGTTTGATTTCTGGAACTATACAATAAAAGGCACTAGGGTTTTCTCCTTCTATAATGTCACACTTCCTGGGGGACGTCAGCTGCCATGTTATAAGGATGCTGAAGGAAATCAATGGAGAGGTCCTTGTTTTGTGAAAATGAGGTTTCCTGTCAACAGCCAGCAAGGAATTAAGAACCTTCTGCTAAACAGCCATGTGAGTGACCCCTCTTGGAAGTGAATCCACCAGGAGCCCTACACAATGTCTTCATGCCACGTCATGAGAAGCTTCAAGCCATAACTACCCATCTGAACCACTCTTGAATCTCGAACCAACAGAAATCAAGATAATAAATGCATGTTGTTTTAAGCTGCCAAATTTTGAAGAAATTTTCTACACAGCAAGAGACAACTAATATAAACATTTCACCAACAGTGTGCAAACATATTTTTTCCCTAAGATCCCAATATCAGTTCTTAGTATTATGTTGTAAATTTAGTAAGAAAAGTGGAACCTAAATAAACATGATTCCTGCTTTAAAAAAATTGAAGAGACAAAACCCTAAAAAAAATTTTTTTTTAATCTCTGTTGCCTTGCAGGTAGGATATCTTTGTTCTGTACCATCTCACACAGGTCCCAGTGGGAGTGGGTCCCAAACACCCACAGCAGTAACCTGCTCGTTATCACATCCTACATTGGTTCACTTTCCTTCTGGTTTACTTTCCTAATCACCTACCAGATCTCCTGTCATCACCTCCAACTCAAATCCTTGTGTCTCCAACTCCTGCTAGGGGAATCCAATCTAAGACAGTGTAGCCCTTTGAGAATTAACTATAGGAAACCCTGACATGAGAAACTTCAATCAGTGGAGTAGCCACAAACTGATACAGATGTTAAAATTGGCAGACAAGGACATTAAGATCATGATTATAACTGTATTCTGCATTTTCAGAAAGCTAGAGGAAAGATGGAACATAATAAGATCAGACATGGAAGATGTTTTAAAGCCCAATGGAACCTCTAGATATGAATGAGAGAGAGGAAGGCAACCCAAGATAAATATAGGTTATGAGCGAGGATCCTAGGGAAAGGTCAAATTATAATAGTAGGATTAGGTTCAGATACATAAAACAGGTGGAGAGTGGTAATTAGTAGCACCTTAAGCAAGAGAGAAGCTTATTCCTCTCTCAACTAAAAGAAATCTGGAGGTAGGCACTGCATAGCTGAAAGGGGAGTTCCACTATGTGGCTGACTTTATTTTAGGGGGCTCCAAAATCACTGCAGATGGTGACTGCAGCCATGAAATTAAAAGACGCTTACTCCTTGGAAGGAAAGTTATAACCAACCTAGACAGCATATTAAAAAGCAGAGACATTACTTTGTCAACAAAGGTCTGTCTAGTCAAGGCTGTGGTTTTTCCAGTCATCATGTATGGATGTGAGAGTTGGACTATAAAGAAAGCTGAGCACCAAAGAATTGATTCTTTTGAACTGTGGTGTTGGACAAGACTCCTGAGAGTCCCTTGGACTGTGAGGAGATCCAACCAGTTCATCCTAAAGATCAGTCCTGAATATTCATTGGAAGGGCTGATGTTGATGCTGAAACTCCAATATTTTGGCCACCTGATGCGAAGAACTGACTCATTTGAAAAGACCCTGATGCTGGGAAAGACTGAGGGCAGGAGGAGAAGGGGACGACAGAGGATGAGATGGCTGGATGGCATCACTGACTCAATGGACATGGGTATGGGTGAACTCCAGGAGTTGGTGATGGACAGGGAGGCCTGGCATGTTGCGATTCATGGGGTCGCAAAGAATGAAACACGACTGAGTGACTGAACTGAACTGAACTATGCCATCAGATTCAGTCTGGTCTGTCTTCCTTCCTTCCTTTGCTTTCTTTTGGCTGTGCCATGCAGCATGCACGAACTTAGTTCCCTGATTGAACCTGTGCTCCCTGCACTGGGAACATGAAGTCTTAACTATTGGACTGTCAGGGAACTCCCCATCATCCTGGTCTTTCAACCCTACAATCCTGTGTGCATAGCTTTCATCCTCTCACGGCCCAAGGTGGTAACCAGAGCTCCTGCCACTACATCCACGTTCTGGGCAGCAGAAGGAAGGAAAAGCAGATGAGCAAACAGAAACCTTTCCTAGTAGGTCAATTCCATTTAAGCAGTGTGTCTGGAAATGACACAGAACTCTTCCATTTAGATCTCACTGTCTAGAACTTCTTCATGTGGCAGCCTCGAGCTGCAAGGGAACCTTACGATTATAAATCTTAGCTGCTAAAACCAAAGTTGTGTCACTGAGTAGAGAGGAAAGAACAGTTGTTGCATCAGATAACCAGTATTCTCTGACTTACCAAGAAAGATCTGGACTTCCCTGGTGGTCTAGTGGTGGTTAACACTGTGCTTCTAATGCAGGGGCTGCAGGTTCCATCCATGTTCAGGGAACTAAGACCTCACATGCTGTATAGTACGGCCAATTAAAAAACCTCCAAAAATCCAAGACTTAGAGATGTTTGATATAGAGGGCTGCGATGGGAAGGACAGAAAACAGAGGTTTGATGAATGTTTTAGAATAACCAAACCAGTTAGACCTCCACTTTGCATCTGCCTCATACATGTGGAACGTAGGCAATCCAGACCAAAAATTGTTTAAAGCTCTCCATTAGCTATCATGGCTGAACACCAAACCAGAGTGGCATAAAATAACAACCATTTACTGTTTCTCACAATTTTATGGATTGGCTGCAGTCAGTTGGCAGCTCCCTGGGTCTGAGGAGGTCTAAGATGGCCTGGGCCTTGGTTTGGGTGTTACTGTGACCCCTCTCCATATGGTCTGTCATCGCTCAGTAGTCTAGCTCATGCTTCCCAGAAAGGGAAGGTAAAAGCTTCAAGGCTTCTTGAGACAAAGGTCCCAGAATGTGCAAAATATCACTTCCGTGGCATCAATTAGCCAAAGCAACTCACGAGGCCAGACCAGGTCTAACAGGCTTCAGCCTTAGCTGGAGGAGCTGCAAAGCCATTGTTAACGGGGTACAGACACCGGGAGATTTGATTCATTGAGAACCAGCCT